GCCAGGAAAACATACTCGTTTTCCTGGCACTATAGTGCCCTGAGGGTGCCCCCACCCTCAGGGACCCCCTCCCGCCCGGCTCTGGAAGGGGAAAGGGGTAAAAACTTACCTTTTTCCAGCGCTGGGCGGAGAGCTCTCCTCCTCCTCTCCGCCTCCGTTACGCCCCGCCGGCTGAATGCGCACGCGCGGCAAGAGCTGCGCGCGCATTCAGCCGGTCTCATAGGAAAGCATTTACAATGCTTTCCTATGGACGCTGGCGTGCTCTCACTGTGATTTTCACAGTGAGAAGCACGCAAGCGCCTCTAGTAGCTGTCAATGAGACAGCCACTAGAGGAATAGGGGGAAGGCTTAACCCATTCATAATTATAGCAGTTTCTCTGAAACTGCTATAATTATGAAAAAATGGGTTAACCCTAGAAGGACCTGGCACCCAGACCACTTCATTAAGCTGAAGTGGTCTGGGTGCCTAGAGTGGTCCTTTAAGTGCAGTTGATCTAACCTTCCATATTATTATTATTATTATTATTTTATTATTTATATAGTGCCATCAGATTCCGTAGTGCTGTACAATATCTGCTGAGCAATATATCTGCTATGTTGTCCTCCACTGGATTATATTGTAGAAAGCAGCAAAACCTTTTTTTTAATATTTGTAAAAGAGATTTGAATGAGGAGAAAAACAGCGTATATCCACAGACCTCTGATTATTGGAGCACTATATTTTAAAACTGAAAAATAAACACATTGATTGATTCAAACATAAATGTATGAACTATACTATGACCCAGAATATACTTGAAAACAAGAGAAATCTCAATGTATCCATTCTGGTAAAATATTTTATAAATAAATACCGTATTTATCGGCATATAACACGCACTTTTTCTCCCTGAAAATAGGGGAGAAATTGTGGGTGCGTGTTATACGCCGGCCCTTTAAATACTGCAGCCGCCTGAGCGCTCTGTCAAGAGCGCTCAGGCGGCTGCAGTTGGTTCTCACCTCCCCTGTAGCGTGGCCGAGCTGCTCTGCTGTCCGCGGTGGCTGGCCGGAGTGATAGGAAGGTACGCTCAGTGGCCGCACCTTCCTCTCAATCCGACTTGAGTACAGAAAAACAAAGAAAACTCTCCTGTTCAGCGCTTGAACAGGAGATTTCATTTCCTATACCGATACACTCACGGAAAGGTGCACACTGGCGTGCTGCCTATCTCCGGCGACCGTGGGCAGCGAAACGCTAAACCCGCGCTACAGGGAGAAAGGCAGAAAGAGGAAGTAAGAAAGAGGGAGTACCAGAAAGAAGGGAGGGAGTAGAAGAGAAGTAGAAAGAGGGCAGAAAGAGGGAGGAAGTAGAAAGGGAGGGTAAGAAGAGGAGGGAGTAAGAGAAAGGGGAGGTAGAGAGGTAGAAAGGGAAGTAGAAAGGGGTAAGAAAGAGGGAGGAAGTAAGAAGAGGGAGTAAGAAAGGGGGGTAAGAAGAGGGGGAGTAAGAAGGGGGTAAGAGGGGGAGGGGGAAGTAAGAAAGGGAGTAAGAAGAGGGGGAGGGGAGTAAGAAGGGGGTAAGAGGGGGAAGGGGAAGTAAGAAGAGGGGGAGGGGGGAGTAAGAAAGGGGGGTAAGAAGTTCTTTATTTGAAATTTAAAGGACCACTCTAGGCACCCAGACCACTTCAGGTTTATGAAGTGGTCTGGGTGCCAGGTCCCTCTAGGATTAAGCCTTTTTTTTTATAAACATAGCAGTTTCAGAGAAACTGCTATGTTTATACTGAGGGTTAATCCAGCCTCCAGAGCCTCTAGTGGCTGTCTCATTGACAGCCGCTAGAGGCGCTTACGTGCTTCTCACTGTGAAAATCACAGTGAGAGCACGCAAGCGTCCATAGGAAAGCATTGTAAATGCTTTCCTATGCGACCCGTTGAATGCGCGCGCGGCTCCTGCCGCGTATGCGCATTCAGCCGATGACGTCGCGAGCAAGGAGGAGAGGAGGAGTACAGCTCCCCGACCGGCGCTGGAGAAAGGTAAGTGTTTAACCCCTTCCTCTCTCCAGAGCCCGGCGGGAGGGGGTCCCTGAGGGTGGGGGCACCCTCAGGGCACTATAGTGCCAGGAAAACGAGTATGTTTTCCTGGCACTATAGTGGTCCTTTAAGTTTTTTCCCCCTGAAATTTCCTTCTTAAAATGAGGTGCGTGTTATACGCCGGTGCGTGTTATACGCCGATAAATACGGTATATTCTTATTGTACTGTAATATAACTGGTATATCAATTGTTTAAAAAAGAAACACCTTAAATTTAAATAAACATTGTCCAAACCAAATGTTCCCGATCAAACTGGGTTATTCCAGAGTAATGTACATTGGGAACAAGGTGGTAATATATTGGGCTTGGTAGGCTGAGTTTTAATGTCTTCCAATAGGGATTAAAGAAGCACTGTCACCGTCTGGGGACTTTGCCAAATTCGCAAAGACCTCTGATGGTGACATTATTGCTGGGGTTCTGGTGGCCAGTTGGGGCCAGTAAAGGTGAGATTTACTTACCTGAACCTAGCCCTTGCAAGCGCAGCCATCTGCTCCTGGGGTTCCAGTGCCAGGAGTCAACGTCACTGGTGTACTCTTGCGCATGTACGGAGGATCTATTTTTTGCTTTGCCTATATAAACTCATTGGTGATGGCTGATGGGATTGACACTGTGGCCCCACCAAGAGTCTCAGAAAGTCAGGTGGAGGAAATATACAAAAACAAAGACGTCCCTACCTTGTCTCTGTATATCGCGTAGCTGGGTTGGAATTTCAATGACATTTTAACAGTCAAAATTAGTATTTCCTAAACATTCTATCTTTATTAAATACTAATTTTTGTAAGGAAAAAAAAAAGGTTGTGAGTAAACATAGTATAAAAAGTCCAAAAGCTGAGCATGAGGATATCATGGCACTAGAAAAAGTGCAGAGACAAGCTACGAAATTGATAAAAGGAATGGAGCATTTTAGTTATGAAGAAAGTAAATCTGTTTAGTTTGGAAAAACGGCACCTCAGAGGGGATATGACAACATTAAACAAATATATTCAGGTCCAGTACAAACCTTTATCTGGAAATCTATTCATAAACAGGGCTATACATAAGGCACAAGGTCACACATTTAGGCTGGAAGGAAGGAGATTTCATCTAAGTCAAAGAAAACGGTTTTTTTTTGTTTTTTTTACAGTAAGAGCAATAAGGATATGGAATTCTCTGCCTGAAGAAGTGGTTTTATCATAGCTTGGTGTTATTTTGGGAGGTAGTTCGGGAAGCTATGACATATATTTGACGCACCACAACCATTTGGAGCAGAACAGGTGCAACTGCATCTTACTGCAGTGCCAGTTTCGAAATACAAAAAGTTTATCACACGGTACCTTTTTAATGCAGCAAAGTCGCTTGTGACTGCCCTCTGGAAGCAAGCAGAGACTCTCACGAGGGAGCAATTGCTGCTCCGAGTTGAGGAAATAAAGGCAGCAGAGGCTATGCAAGTGGCTCTACTGAGTAAAGGAGCTAAACATGCAGAACATTGGCAACCGTGGTTTACATACATGACTAGCAAAGTAGGGACTGAAACTACTGAAGGTACAGGAGGGTGCTTGACAGATCTAGGGCACCCCCTAATTTAAATTTACCCGCCCCTTCCTGACAAGGCTGCACCTCTTCCTGTTAGGTAACACGCATTTTGACTGAAAGACAAACACTCACAGACTAGCACACACTCTCAGACACACTGACATGCACACACACATACACTCACTGATTTGACACAATCTGACAGACACATACAATCATTCAGAAACACACTGACAGACGCATAAACTCACTGACAGATACACATAATCACTGACAGACACGCACAATCACTCAGACACACACATTCACTGGACACACACACTAACAGACACTCACACACACTCACTCACATTTCCCCCCAACACTCACAATTATTGTTATTATTTTTTTTTTTTTTATTTAAATCCACCCAGCCTCCCTACGTTTGGGAGAGCTGGGTGAATTTTTCACCTGGGTTCCAGTGGAGTTGCTGGGCAGTAAGATGGGCGGACATGCAAGCGTGCAGGCAGGCCGGTGGCCGCACTTAGCTGTGAGCGAGGGAGCCGCTGAGTGATGCCGGGAGCTGGCCAGCTCTTGGGCCCCCATAAAACGAGGCAAAAAAGGCATTAGCCTGGGCATTTGGGGGCGCTTGTTTTTTGCCGCTCAAGTCAAATGCCTTGTTTGCCTCGCGGTAGATACAGCCCTGCATATCGCATATACATATTGATGGGCAGCACATGAAAAGGGTAGCCCTGTAGTATGCAGAATTCAGAAATAGGCGTATACGATTAAGCAATTAGGCAATGAATATGAATTATACATACTGCAGTATTTTCATAAATATGACAAAATGATAGGTGACCCGGTAAACATGGTGCATCAGGTCACTCTGGATTAGAGTCTCAAAATGGTATTGTAAGCCATATGTCTCTTGATCTCCATATTTTATATGTTTATTCATTTTTAATCCTGACTCTTTCGGGACCTGCCTGTTCTATTCTATGCACTAGACTTGTCAAAAACTCAAAAATGATGAGGTACTCCCACAATCAGCATTTTATTCATTACCTACAAATTTCTCATCTTTTGTTTTTACTGAAAATAATAAATATGACTTCATCAAAACAAATAAAGCGCCCAAAAAAAAGCATTGCTCTGCCTATCTTCACTGTAAATAACTACAGTTCGACTTTTGCGGCTACGGACTACATTTCCCGAGATGCTCAGCGCGAGTCACCCAGACCGCCGAGCATCAAGGGAAAGACATTCTCGTGCCAGGAGTGAATCCAAAGATCATAGATGAACATGACTCACGCTATCCACGATGACATCATCCACTCTCTTCCGCTGCCGCATGTGACCATCCACCAATCGGAAAATCTATAGGCGGGGTCAGTTTAATTCAGCCAATCACAGCTTGGAAACTTGAAAGGCTACTTGGACATGTCTGGGCATGATTGTAAAAGCCGGTAGAGTAACACGTGGAGAGGGGACCTGGCTGTCTCAAATCAGACCTAGCGGGGTCCACAGGAGGTGAGTATGACAGCCATATCACGTCATGTGGAACGTTAGAGTACATGTGTTCTGTAATGGTATATAGCATGCTTTAATAAAAACTGCTCGCTATCAGTGTGATCTTAGTATGAGCTGGCACTATATACACACACTGAGATTGTCCTATAAAGTTATACTATATATATAATATTAGTTATATACAATATAAATATGTATAAAATAAAAGTAATCCTGTATTAAAATTATATATAGTATAACTTTTTATATATAATATAGTATGAGCTGGCATATATATATATATATATATATATATATGTATATATATATATATATATATATATGTATATATATATATGTGTGTGCGCCAGCTCATACTATTTCATTACCCCTACTTTTACCCTTTGTGTCATTATATCCCACTCCCTGTAGCATGTAAGCTCATTGAGCAGGGCCCTCAACTCCTGTTCCTGTGCGTCCATTTGTCTGGTTACAATTACGTGTCTGTTAGTCCACATGTACAGCGCTATGGAATTTGCTGGTGTTTTATTAATAATAATACTAAGATCACACTGTATTATATATATATATATATATATATATATATATACACACACACACACTGACATTGTCCTGTACAGTCATACTATATATAATATTAATATAGTATTACTTTTATATACAATATATGTACACTGACATTGTCCTATACAGTCATACTACATATAATATAGTATTAGTGTGTGTGTGTGTGTGTGTATATATATATATATATATATATATATATATATATATATATATATATATATATATATATACTGACATTGTCCTATACAGTCATACTATATATAATATTAATATAGTATTACTACATATACAGTGACATTGTCCCATAAAGTCATACTATATATTATTAATATAGTATTACCTCATATACATATTATATGTTTATTAATACAGGTAGTAATATTGTATACAGTATGACTTTATAGGACAATACCAGTTTTTATAAAGCTTGTATTTGTTAATTTTTATTAACTCACTAAACTGTAATGAATTGAAAAATCCGGATGGCAAAATCTAGGCCAGAAATGATGTCTTGTGGGAAAAAATATCTCAAACTCCGTTTAGTATAGTTTTGCTTAGCTACATTTCAGTGTTTAGAAAATAAACCTCAGCTCTCTGTTTTGGCTAGTGTGCACCTGACTGACAGACCTCCCAAATGTCTCGTATCTGACTTGGTGTCCTGCTTTTGTGGACACTAGAAATCTGTGCTCAAGGTGTGTAGTTTGAGCATATCATTAGTCTGCCCACGTCCTCTCGGAGTGGGCTTGTCCTTTTGTGCAGTGGTAGTGACAGAGGTGTCCTATTTCCTACTTCTCAATTTTTGGAGCTATGATCTAAAACAAGTCTTATTAGGCTTGCTATGTCTTACTGTGAACAAATCACGCTTTAGAATGGTTCATGAGGAGCATTGCTGCACTCGAGAAGTGGAGTGTATGTCAAAAGTAAGTCACTTAAAGGAACACTAACACTTCAAAAACACCATCTAGTATGGAAACGTGCATCCATTTATTTCTGCATGTTGTCATTAGGATTATATCTAAAATCAGCTTGCAAAAGCTGCAGACCTCCTGTCTGCAGCCCCTGAATGCACTCATTATGACATGGGGAGACAGTGGCTGGTGTGCTGTAGCAGAGCTTGCTTGCAACTTGCGTTAGCTCAGCGAAGCTAACATAAGAAGAAGATATCATTACCTGCTGTTAGTTTGACATATGGCTTGGCGTTTCTTAATCGGTTTATAAAAGTGCCAGTTTCTCAGCAAAATAGGCACTTCTGTAATGTGCAAAGTAAATTGGATACTCCTTACATATAGAGTACTCCTGCAAGTTGAAGTGATTTATGTATGTGAAGTGGCCCTCTTTAATAATTTATATATCCTCGAGATACCATTCTTATTTGAGCTAATGACTTTAATCCAGCAGAGTATTTATCCTAATCATACCTCTCAACTGACCTGCTTTCACTTGGACACTCCAGGCTTTGGGATCGTGTCGCACTTCTGGGAACACTAGAAAGCGTCTTTCGAAATTCTAACATTATTACATTGTTAGATGTTCTTGGCCTGTGCAAAGTACATTCATAGGTTTTACCACTATGTGAGCACTTCACCAGAGCTCAATGCAATGGGTGCATATGAAATTTAATGTCTCAAAATTTTGGAAAATGTCATAAAACAAAGATGACTTTATTATTAACACAATTATTTTTGGCAAAAAGGCTGAGCTAGAAGCAGTATCTGCCATTACATCTTTCCATTTCCCATCAGATACCAATTTGCAATGCTAGATTGGAACACTCTTATACTCTGCCGTGGCAATTATCATTACTCCGTTATCATTTTTTAAATAAAACAAAAACGAAATGATGCTATAATCTATATGTTTGCTTGGAGTTGTCATTCTAGATTAGAGTATTCTGTCATTGTGCTAACATTTTGGGTCCTTGGGTATCGTCATGCTGCTCTTAAAAGGCAATTTTGTTATCATTTATATCACGCCAACTTATTCTGCACCACTTCACAAAATTTGAAAGGAAAATAAAACAGCAGCTAACTGACAAAAAAATACAGTTGCAAGAAAAAGTATGTGAACCCTTTGGAATGATATGGATTTCTGCACAAATTGGTCATAAAATGTGATCTGATCATCATCTAAGTCACAACAATAGACAATCACAGTCTGCTTAAACTAATAACACACAAAGAATGAAATGCTGCCATGTTTTTATTGAACATACCATGTAAACATTCACAGTGCAGGTGGAAAAAGTATGTGAACCCCTAGACTAATGACATCTCCAAGAGCTAATTGGAGTGAGATGTCAGCCAACTGGAGTCCAATCAATGAGATGATTGGAGGTGTTGGTTACAGCTGCCCTATGAAAAACACACACCAGTTCTGGGTTTGCTTTTCACAAGAAGCATTGCCTGATGTGAATGATAACTGGTAGGGATCGACCGATATTGATTTTTTTAGAGCCGATACCGATAATCTGCGAACTTTCAGGCCGATAGCCAATATCTTGCCGATATTCTGTACATTTACTATTTTGAATAAATAAACTAATTCGAAAGGTAAATGCACAAAATATACATGCCACATGTAGTGGATGAAGTGTGTTTAGACAGGGGAACTGTGTTTGTTTGTGTAGTGTGTGTGTGTGTGTGTATGTAGTGGATGCAGAGTGTGTGTATATAATGCAGTGTGTTTATGTAGTGTGTGTATAATGCAGTGTGTTTTTGTGTGTATGTAATGCAGTGTGTTTTTGTGTGTATGTAATGCAGTGTGTGTTTGTGTAGTGTGTATGTAATGCAGTGTAGTGTGTGCAGTGTGTGTCTGTAATGCAGTATGTGTGCAGTGTGTTTGTGGTGTGTGTGTAGTGTGTGTATGTAATGCAGTGTGTGTGCCTGTGTAGTGTGTATGTAATGCAGTGTGTGTGTATGTAATGCAGTATGTGTGCAGTGATGTAATTTGTGTAATTTTTTATTTTAATATTTTTTATAATATTTAAATGTTTTTTTTTTGTTTAGTCTCCCCCCAGTGTGTGTTTGTGTAGTGTGTGTTTGTGTAGTGTGTATGTAATGCAGTATGTGTGCAGTGTGTGTGTAGTGATGTAATTTGTGTAATTTTTTATTTTAATATTTTTTTTAATATTTAAATGTTTTTTTTATTTTTTGTTTAGTCCCCCCTCCCTGCTTCTTACCAGGGAGGGGGATATAGTATTCCCTGGTGGTCCAGTGGCTTGTTAAGTACAGTGGTGGCTCAGCAGCAGCAAGCGCTGACTTACCTTGCAAGCAGCTCCTACAGCTCCCTGTGTAAATCTCGCGGCTCTTAGTGCCGCGCGGAGCGTTGCCATGGTAACCCGTGGCAACGCTCTGCGGCCGCGGGTCTCGCGAGATTTACACAGGGAGCTGCATGCAAGGTAAGTCAGCGCTTGCGGCTGGCCCCCACAGGACCGCCGGGCTTGTAATGGGCCCAGCGGTCCTGTTATATATTATCGGCAATATCGGTATCTGAATTGGCCGATACCGATATTGCCGAAAATACCAAATATCGGCCGATAATATCGGCCAGACCGATAATCGGTCGATCCCTAATACCTGGCACAAAAGAGCTCTCAGAAGACCTACGATTAAGAATTGTTGACTTGCATAAAGCTGGAAAGGATTATAAAAGTATCTCCTTGCTGTTCATCAGTCCACGGTAAGACAAATTGTCTATAAATGGAGAAAGTTCAGCACTGCTGCTACTCTCCCTAGGAGTGGCCTTCCTGTAAGGATGACTGCAAGAGCACAGCGCAGACTGCTCAATGAGGTGAAGAAGAATCCTAGAGTGTCAGCTAAAGACTTACAAAAGTCACTGGCAAATGCTAACATCCCTGTTAGCGAATCTACAATACGTAAAACACTAAACAAGAATGGATTTCATGGGAGGATACCACAGAGGAAGCCACTGCTGTCCAAACAAAACATTGCTGCACGTTTACAGTTTGCACAAGAGCACCTGAATGTTCCACAGCAGTACTGGCAAAATATTCTGTGGACAGATGAAACCAAAGTTGAGTTGTTTGAAAGAAACACACAACACTATGTGTGGCGAAAAAAAGGCACAGCACACCAACATCAAAACCTCATCCCAACTGTGAAGTATGGTGGTGGGGGCATCATGGTTTGGGGCTGCTTTGCTGCATCAGGGCCTGGACGGATTGCTATCATCAAAGGAAAAATGAATTCCCAAGTTTATCAAGACATTTTGCAGGAGAACTTAAGGCCATCTGTCTACCAGCTGAAGCTCAACAGAAGATGGGTGTTGCAACAGGACAATGACCCAAAGCATAGAAGTAAATCAACAACAGAATGGCTTAAACAGAAGAAAATACGCCTTCTGAAGTGGCCCAGTCAAACTCCTGACCTCAACCTGATTGAGATGCTGTGGCATGACCTCAAGAAAGCGATTCACACCAGACATCTCAAGAATATTGCTGAACTGAAACAGTTCTGTAAAGAGGAATGGTCAAGAATTACTCCTGACGTTGTGCACGTCTGATCTGCAACTACAGGAAACGTTTGATTTGAAGTTATTGCTGCTAAAGGAGGTTCAACCAGTTATAAAATCCAAGGGTTCACATACTTTTTCCACCTGCACTGTGAATGTTTACATGGTGTGTTCAATAAAAACATGGCAACATTTCATTCTTTGTGTGTTATTAGTTTAAGCAGACTGTGATTGTCTATTGTTGTGACTTAGATGATGATCAGATCACATTTTGGCTCTGCTCAAAAGCGCTTCCAATCTAGTTCAGTTGCTAAATGGGGCAGACTCATAAACAAGAGACAAACCTTTGCTGCATGCTATTTTTTATTTATTTGCAAGTGTGTTTCATCGTGATGGGTACCTAGCTCTCTGCAGTCATTTGAAAGTTGCACTATTGACCCCATGGACATTCAGTACCAGGTGGTAGATCCACTTGCAAAGCTATCACTAAACAACTGTTACGTTTTTAAAACTGTTTTCATTTATATACTGTACATCAGTGTTTCCCAACCCAGTCCTCAAGGCACACCTACCAGTCCAGGATTTAGGGATTACCCAGTTGTGTCTAAGGTGTTTTTTTTTTCTTCTTTGTAAAAACACCTTAGACACAACTGGGTAATCCCTAAATCCTGGACTGGTAGGTGTGCCTTGAGGACTGGGTTGGGAAACACTGCTGTACATGACACATAGGGTAGCCTACGTTTGCGATTTTACAAATGCAGATTTCTTACTGTTTCTTTACAACTCAAAGCTTTCAGATGAATATAAACCTCCATAAGAAGTTCTTTTTACCCATAAACTCTGTTCGCTTCTTAACCCCTTCCCGACCGAGGACGGTTCAGGACCGTCATCGGGATTTTCCCATTGAGGACCGATGACGGTCCTGAACCGTCCTAACGGTTTCCGTTACTTACCTGATCGCCGTCGTTCCCCCGGCGGCGATCAGCGTTGCTCCCGGTGTGGGGAGACTGCCTGCAGCCCAGACAGTCTCCCCACACTGATTTAGGACCCCTGGGGCCATGTGATCGCTTAACACAGCGATCACATGGTCACAATGGGTGTCCATAGTGCTGCCTGCAGGGGGACTGCCTGTGCTGACAGGCAGTCTCCCTGCTAGTGTAAAATCAGAAAAAAAAATAAAGTTAGTGTTAATAAAAAAATAATAATAATTATATATGTGTATATATGATATATAGACATATATTATATCTACCGTATTTTTCGCTCCATAAGACGCACCTCACCATAAGACGCACCTAGTTTTTAGAGGAGGAAACCCAGAAAAAAAAATATTCTGAACAAACTGTTCCATAGTGTTTCTTACCATGGGACAGTTTGTTCAGAATATTTTTTTTTCTCCCCTGTCCCATAATGATCTTAAACCCCCCTTTCCTCTGTCCCATAGTGATTGTTAACCCCTCCTACCCTGTCCCATAGTGATTGTTAACCCCTCCTACCCTGTCCCATAGTGTTCTTTTTGAATCCCTCCCTCCCCTTTGGTCCATTAGTGTTCTGATCCCATAGTGTGTCCCTCCCATAGTGTCCCCCCCTGCCCTTGTCCCATAGTGTCTCCCCCTCCCCTTGTCCCATAGTGTCCCCCCTCCCCTTGTCCCATAGTGTCTCTCCTCCCTTTCTCCCATAGTGTCCCCCTCCCCTTTTCCCATAGTGTCTCCTCCCCTCCCCTTGTCCCATAGTGTCTCCTCCCCTCCCCTTGTCCCATAGTGTCTCCTCCCCTCCCCTTGTCCCATAGTGTCTCCTCCCCTCCCCTTGTCCCATAGTGTCTCCTCCCCTCCCCTTGTCCCATAGTGTCTCCTCCCCTCCCCTTGTCCCATAGTGTATCCCCCTGTCTTGGAGCGTGGGCCGGCTTCACAGCGCGCTCCGCGGTCCAGGAACTAATATTTCAGGTTCCGGTTTCCGGCGGGACTGAAAGGAAGTGTGCACACTCAGTGTGCACACTTCCTTTCAGTCCCGCCGGAAACCGGAACCTGAAATAGAAGTTCCTGGACCGCGGAGCGCGCTGTGAAGCCGGCCCACGCTCCAAGACAGGTAAGTAATTCTTCACATTCGCTCCATAAGACGCACAGACATTTCCCCTCACTTTTGAGGGGGGAAAAAGTGCGTCTTATGGAGCGAAAAATACGGTATATAATATATGTCTATATATCATATATATAATGCCATACTAAGTGTATTTTTATATTAATATGTACTTATATTAATATAAAAATACTTATAATTAAATTACACACGTGTATATATAATATATATAATAACTATATAGATTGTATATATATATATATATATTATTATAAAATATAAATAAGTAATTTAAATTAAATTTTTTTAAAAATAATAATAAAAAATTTTAAAAAAATTATATAGCTATATGAAATTTTATTCTAACTGTATTTTAAAATTAATATATATATATTTATATCAAAATACACTTAGAATGAATTTGTATATATATCTATGTATATAAAAATAAATAAAAATAATAAGAAATATACATATGTCCATATACAAAATTACATAAATAATTATATAAATATACACGTAGACTTCAAATATATAAATATGCATATATATTTAAATTCTACGTGCGTATTTATGTAATATTTTTACATAATTCAGTAATTTTATTGATTGCAATTTGAGGGACCTGCCTGCCAACCCAGGCCGAAATTCCAGAGAATTTAATTTGCTAGCACTGTATTTTACCCTGTAACGTTCTACGACACCCTAAAACCTGTACATGGGGGGTACTGTTTTACTCGGGAGACTTCGCTGAACACAAATATTAGTGATTCAAAACAGTAAAACCTATCACAGCGATGATATTGTCAGTGAAAGTTACTTTTTTTGCATTTTTCACACACAAACAGCACTTTTACTGATGATTGTTGATACGTTTTCCAGTTTTTAAACACTAATATATGTGTTCAGCGATGTCTCCCGAGTAAAACAGTACCCGCCATGTACAGGTTTTATAGCATTTTTGAAAGTTACAAGGTCAAATACATGGGTCAAATATTTTTACATTGAAAATGGCCAGGTTGGTTACGTTGCCTTTGAGAGCGTATGGTAGCCCAGGAATGAGAATTACCCCCATGATGGCATACCATTTGCAAAAGAAGACAACCCAAGGTATTGCAAATGGGGTATGTCCAGTCTTTTTTAGTAGCCACTTGGTCACAAACACTGGCCAAAATTAGCGTTCAATTTAGTTTTTTTACTTTTTTCACACACAAACAAATATGAATGCTTACATTGGCCAGTGTTTTCGACTAAGTGGCTACTAAAAAAGACTGGACATAACCCATATTGAATACCCTGGGTTGTCTACTTTAAAAAAAATATGTACATGTGGGGTGTTATTCAGAGATTTATGACAGATAATAGTGTTACAATGTCACTATTGATAAATTTTAAAAATGCATGTTTTGAAACCGCAATATCCTACTTGTACCTATAGCCCTATAACATGCAAAAAAAAGCAAAAAAGCACGTAAACACTAGGTATTTTTAAACTCAGGACAAAATTTTGAATCTATTTAGCAGTTTTTTTCATTCGCTTTTGTAGATGAGTAAAAGATTTTTCAAGTAAAAGTCAAAAAACATGTATTTTTTTCAATTTTTCATCAGATTTTTTTATTTTTTTTAAATTAAAATACATGAGATTATATAAATAATGGTATGTAAAGAAAGCCCCTTTTGTCCTGAAAAAAACAATATATAATTTGTATGGGAACAGTAAATGAGAGAGCGGAAAATTACAGCCAAACACAAACACCAGAAAAGTGTAAAAATATTCCTGGTCGCAAATGTACAACATCGCAAAAACAGTCCAGTCCTTAAGGGGTTAAAGGAACACTGTGGGCCCATAACCATTTAAACTCATTAAACTACTTATGGTGCCAAACTGTGATTTTTCACAGTGAGAAGCGCCTCTAGTGGCTGTGAGACAGCCACTAGAGGCTGGATTAACCCTAACCTGCAGGGTTAAACCTAGGGGGACTTGGCACCCAGACCACTTAATTGAGCTGAAGTGGTCTGGGTGCCTATAGTAGTCCTTTTAAGGTACTCTCTAAATGCCAAAAATACTTCAGTTTAAAGAAACACTCCAACCACTTCCATTAGCTCTCCTGAGCCAAACTTTATAGTATCTGGTCAGTTCATTGATTGAGAGCTTCAGCTGGTCACTCTCAGCCATTAAAGTCCACAAGGAGGGATGGTGCCTGGCAGACTGCAAATAAGGCATCAGACTGTTGGAAAATGTTTAATTACAGTGAAGGGGCACCAGGGCACTCCTTGGGCCATAAACTCTACAGAGCAGGGTAGTGGTTATGGTGTTTGTAATGTTCTTTTGAAGGGATACTGTAGTGCCAGGAATACAAAGCTGTATTCCTGGCACTACCGATCCCTCTGCATACCCACTCACTCGCGCCCAACCCTCCCCGGTAAATAAAAGGTTAAAAACAGGTGCAAAAGGGACACCGCACCCAGACCACATCAATGAGCTGAAGTGGTTTGGGTGCCTACAGTGTACCTTTAAACATTGTAATATAAGTGGCATTCCAATCATGCTATAGATTTTAGATTTCTTGGAACTAAAACTCTGCTTTTACACATCAGTAACTAATAAACTACGAAAAAACCATGTACCCAAAATTAGAATGCTATAATTAATGCAAAAAGACATACTTTCTCTTTACTTATTGCACATTTATTTATATATATATATATAATTTTTTTTTGGCGTACTCTAGATGTTTAAAGGGACATTATAGTCACCTGAAGTACTACACCGTAATTTAGTTGTTCTGGTGAGTATAGTCAGTTCCTGCAGGCATTTTTATGTAAACACTGAGAAAATACACTGTTTAGATTGCTTCCTAGGGACACCTCCAGTGCCAGTCACTCAGACAGCCACTAGAGGGGCTTCCTGGGTGACATTCGGCGTTTCCACACTCTGCACGGAGGCGCTGAATTTTCCATGTACAGATACATTGATTCAATGCATTTCTATGAGGAGATTCTAATTGGCGCAGCGCTGTTTTCACACGCATTGCTCATTAGCCTCCCAGTGCTTCCTATGGAAAAGCATTGGATTGGCAGCAGAACTGGAATAAAGTTAAGTTTTCTACTTATTTATGGGGGGGCTGAATAGTGTTAACACTTTAGGGTCCGGAATACACGTGTGTTTTTTTTTTTTTTTGTTCCTTTTTAAAGTGTCTGTATTATGGACTAATGCTGGGACATCACCTAGCAGAATAGTTTTGTTGCCTTCATTGCGATCGTTAAACTGGTAGAACACCTGTAGACTCAAGTTTTATTAGTATATATATTTTAGCCTTCTGGACAGATGTCTATTTAAAATAATACAAACGTTACCTTGGAGATGGCAGAAGTAATCTGCAGGCAACTTTATATTTTATCTATAAATGATATGGCAGGTTTGCTAGAAAATAGTGTGTCTTATCTATCGTATAACTTGAAACTGATTTTGCTACAGAAATGCGTATTGTTAAAAATATATTTATGCATATTTCTTTTGTGTGATTCGTGAAAGACTATGCTTTGGGGAATATTAATGTAGCCTTAAAAAATGCTAAATGGGTAAATGTTTTTTTTCAATCATAATTCAAACCAGTAATTTTAAATTGTATATATCTGTTGGGAAAAGTAGTGTAAGCTTAACTCATACCTAAAACAGTATCTGTCACTATAATACTTCATTGCAACATTTACAAAACATTTTCTTTTCTTTATAGGCTTCTATAGACAACCAGTTGTAAAATATTCCAAAAGAAGCCATTTTAGATAAGATGAAGGACTTTGCATCCACGTCTAGTAATTTATACCATGGGCTTACTGAAAGCAGCCAACACATGACTGTCCCTCATGTACCCGCTCCTTTGGACCACATGCAAATTGGTTGTGTTGGTAATCGCCGGAAAAGTAGAAAGCATCAACGGTTTTTGAAACGAAAGGAATTACTGTGTGGGCTGCATAGTATGAAAGAAAAGAGCTACAAAGCGTTTACTAAAAGTAATACATGTTCCATGGTCAGTGGTGCCAGTCAGTTCGGCTTCAAAGAGAAATGTGAGAAAATAAATGTAGAAAAGCAATCAGAAACAGTTGGCAAGATCAACACCATATCTATCAAACTACCAGAAATGTCAGGATCTTTATCTAGTGATCTTTTGTCAAGTGATGCTGACTCTGACAGTGGGCTGTCAATGACGGGCAGTTGTGTTTCAAGCATGCCTGCCTCTCTTACCTGGATGAAACCCGGGAGGTGTGTTGCCCTTGACTGCGAGATGGTGGGTACTGGTCCTGGTGCAAGAACCAGTGAACTGGCTCGGTGCAGTGTGGTAAACTACTATGGGGATGTTTTATATGACAAATATATCTTACCTGAGCTGCCAGTTACAGATTACAGAACTCGATGGAGTGGCATCACCAGACATCACTTGAAGCATGCTATTCCATTTAAGACTGCTCAGAAGGAGGTAACGTATTAAAGTATAACATGTATAGTTCTATTCCTAGCACTATCGCCCCCTATGTCTTTAAACCCCTCCCTCGACAAAAAGTCGCCTAATCTCCAGGAAGTGCCTCTAGTGGCTGTTTGCAGGAACTGCAATAATTACAATTGAAGGGTCACTGCACCCAGACCACCACAATGAGCTGAAGTGGTCTGGATGCTTCTAGTGTCCCTTTAACCTTTTGCTATTGTGTTTTTGACATAGAAGTAAAGAAGTCAGAAACCTAAAACAAGTTTTTAGCTACTATATTGTAAAGGTAATCTCCATGGTACACTAACTGCTGAAGTTTCACTTCTCAATTAATTGGATTTTTCAAGTCGGTAGTTTTTAGCCTTCATTTTATTAAATTTCCATTTACTGCAATTCATTGTCAAATTTAACCCTCCCTTTCCAATCAACAGTAGTGTGATTATTGCTTGGATGCTACTGTCCTGACAGCATAACGCGCGTGTAAAATATTAACATTAGATTAACAGTTAATAATTCTGGGAAGCACTTGTCACTGGTATGACCTGCTCCATAAACTGTTTCCAATAAGAAATGGGCCTTCAGCTTATCCTATACCTGTGTAAGATAGAACCTAAAATCCATATAAGGCTGTGCAGATTTAATTATAAATTTCCTTTAGCAGTTAAGTTTGTTTTGGCCGGTATTTGTACCTTTATGGAATAGTTCACCTCTCAGAAAATCCATGTAATTTGGAAATGTGCTTTCTGTTTTGTTGATCTATTCCATTAGACTGAGGCCAAATTCTGTGACTGAGTTCTAGTGACGTGCAGCTTAATGCATTCCATTTTAGCAAGCAACATTCTATTATAATAATCAGCAGTGCTTGGGCATTTTAAAGGGTAATTATCAGCGTTTGTTTACTAGGCAGTTAGCAAAGTGAAATGAGATTGGAAAGTCACAGGTAGGAGAGAGGAGGTAGGTGTTAAAAGTTCTGGCATTTTCATTTCTCTCAAGCTTGAAAGAATAACCTAGGCATTAAAATACCAGTCATGACTGTGCAGAAACATAGCACTTTCAGCTTTGGTGACGAGCAGAAAAACTGCTTTGGCATGGGGGCCAATCTATCCCATACAGCATCAATCTCCCCCATCACTTGGGGTTCACAAGCATAAAATAAAAGACTTAGTCTAGTACAGGTATAGGCTACCTTCGGCACTCCAGATGTAATGGACTACATCTCCCATAATGCTCTTATACCCATAATGCTGGCAAAGCATCTTGGGAGGTGTAGTCCAAAACATCTGCCATGCCGAAAGTTGCCTATGCCTGGTCTAGTATATGTTTGCAGCTGCTAAGGACTGATTGGAGTTTATCAGCCTCTCATCTCTCACTCAGTGGATATATATTTTGGCAGTACTAATGTGTCATTTTACTTTTAGATTCTGAATCTACTAAAGGACAACAGAGTTGTCGGACATGCCTTGCACAATGATTTTAAAGCTCTAAAGTACTTCCCTCCCAAGGACCAGACACGGGATACCAGTAAAATGAGATTGCTGAATAAAATGGCAGGAATGCCAGCAAGACAAAATGTCTCCTTAAAAAGGCTTGCGTTGGCTCTGCTAAACAAACACATACAGGTAACTAATGATGTTTAACTAATGAATATATACATTTTATTTTTATTTTTTTTATACATGTTTTCAATATAAAAAGTAAAGTGGGTATAGACATTTATTTGGAGGAGGGTTTATATTTAAGAATTCATCCAGTTGAAAATTCTGAAAGGTATGAGATCCCAAAAAAAATTAAACATTAAATATTAAGACCTGCAGTGGTTATGGTACTGCGGTCTTCTATTCCTTTCTCAATAGCTGAGCATAAGTGATTATAACTGCAGTTAGGGTATAGAGGAATAGTGTAGATGAATGCAGCTTCCAAGACAATTCTCCCAAGCAAGTAAAATATTCCCCAAGCATGAGCCTAGACTTCATGAAGGGTATAACAGGAATAATGTTTTATTGATGCCACACTGGCTTTTATGGGAATCCTCATGCAAGAGGACCTCCCACAGTTAACAAAGGAAATAACCAATCAGAGTACAGGTTTCCAGTGACACACTCCCTCCCTCTGCCTGGGAGATTCTGAGATAAGTTAAGGAATAACCCAATTATCTCCAGGCAGAGGGCACACAATTTCCCCAAAACTTAGAACACCCCTTTATACAACAGGTATCCCCACAAATTACTATTCCCTGATAGCCCCGATCTGGGTGACCAACATATTCAAATTGTACCCAGATTGGTTCAGGAGTTCGCAAAAAGTATGGAAGTCATAATTTACCGACCACACACGAGGCTCCTGCCCAAAACAGTTCCACGAATTCGGCGTGTGCGGTCGGTCAATTCAGAAAATGTCATAAAAACGAACAAAGTCACAAATGGATACTCCTGGCTCATAGGAGCAATTGCTCCCCTTGTTCGTGTGAAGCAAACTACCGAATGGCGCTCTCCTGCCTGTTTGGCAACAAAAGGAAGTGGGCGTTCGTATGTTTCAGCGGTGGTTCGGGAAGTCGAGTGTTTGATTTTAGTTCCAGACACTCGACGACCAAGTCCCGCTGCCTCCTTTCGTGCAAACAAGATGGCCGCCGTTTTATGTTCCACGTGGCATTTGGCTATACGAACGGCGGCCACCCAGAGAGCGCTTAATAGACGGTTCTCTTTGAAGGTAATGAGCCAGGAGGGTGGTCGGTGTTCGGTAGTTTTAAAACTGCCGAACCAATAAATCCCAAATCAACGAAATGTTGCAGAAGGTCACGAACACTGAAGAAAATGCCAAAACAAAGTTTATTTTCTTCACATACATTATCATGGTCTTCATTTCCTGTGAAATTACAGCATTTACCAAACAGATCTGATAAACCCATGCAGTTACTTAAGGATTACGGTGCTTGAGTGGTCGCTCTGCATTTCTAAACCAAGACTCCCAAATTACATTTGCTTCGTAGCTTATCATAGATAGGACACTGTCATCTCATTGTTCATTTATGGCAAATTACAGGGAGATGTAGGAGATAGCTGATCTATTAAGCTCTGTAAAAGTAGTTGATGGTTTGGAGGCTGACTATTATTTATATAGGTCACTCAGGACATGTTCTACAAAGGCCTATGGAATTCCTGTTAAAGTAAATTGAACTATATCAATCTCTGGGATGAATGTAGCTGTCCACTGTTTAAGCGTGGTTTGTGGAGACATTCCTTTTAGAAATATACAGATATTTTTACAATTGTTTTCCATACCATGACCTCTTTCTCTCAAGGTGGGTGGTTCACAATGCATGTTATCCTGCATTTGTATGTTCTCATAAAAGCCAAGGCAATCCATGGAATGTGACCTCTTTATAACACTAAGCTAGTTTAGCTTAGTGTATTTTATGCTTTCTAATGCTGTAAATCATTCTGGTGTTCTGATTCAGCTTTTCCTTTATCAAACATAAGTTAACCTCTACTGCAGAGGGACCGAGGGGCTTTGGATGCTGACCACAGCCCTTGGTTTTTGTCAAACCTTTCAGAATGGGTTGACAGATAACTAGGAAACTACATTGGAAAGACTCAGTGCCTTAATACTAAATAAAAATATGTTGTTATGGTGCATTGAGTGTCTATTTAATTTAGTGCATTGCTCACAGGGGATATAGATACCTACCAGGACTTAATTTTTTAGCACACTGTGTGTGTGTATATAATGCCACTTCATTCTCTCTAAAAACAGCTAACAACTGAACAATGACACTACTTCAACATATAACATTATCAACCATAAAATGACCATAAGGACTTGCAGCAAGTTTCTTGTTCTCTCTATCCAGCCCCCCTTCCCCAAATTAGTATTTCATAAAGATAACATTTTTATGAAATACACACATTGGCCATGTTGTGTTTTTATGATATTGTGTAACTTTTATGCTTCTGAGTAATATTTGGGGTGTTTATTTTATTTATTCTTTTATTTTCAGGGTGGTAAAAAGGGACACTCTTCCGTAGAAGATGCCGAAGCATGCATGGAACTCTACAAAATCGTAGAGGATCAATGGGAGCAGAACCTACATCTGTACTCAAGACCCAGTTCACCCACAAAGCCTATTGTCCTGGATACTAACAGTTACATGGAGGATCAGTACTGGCCTCCAGATCTAAATGAAAACTATAGATAAAATAGCCTGTTCTAGTTAAAGAGCATTTTCTTTACATGTTTACATTCATATTGTGCAATATACACTTATTTATTCATAGTGTTTATAATATATAATATGGCTTTCTATGGAGTGACTTGATCATAAAGAATTGTATTCAGTGAGCCATATATTATCATAAATAAGCTGTAGCAATTCTGTGGCAAGTTTAGTGTAGAATAATCCTATTGCAAATATTTCTGTAGTGATTGTTCCTGATATGATGCCAAAGAATTGCTCCAGTATTCCTTAAACAGATTCTACCTGTTGTATCCTAACTCTTATTAGAGAATGACATATGCATCCTTTTGGGATGAACTGCTCACACCTTCTTGTTCCCTAACTTGTCTAGATATGTCTAGGAATTGTTTAAAATACCTAGACAGAGCTGTAAATCCTAATTTTGTGTTGCTATAAGTATTTAAGCGGTTTTAAGAGTAAGGTGCTCCTTTTCAGAAGGCTGCGGGATCCAGATTTAGGTTACTTTTGGACAATTTTATATGGAATAGGCTGCTTTATAATTAAGAATAAACAGAGTACAAAAAAAGTAAAAACTGCTGTCTGAAAAACCATCAATGTATGATATATTAATATCGTTTATGCAGTTTCTAAGCAGTGGAGATATTGTTGTGCAATGTGTGAATAGATGTAAAAAAATGCTCTTATAGTGGAGATATGGATATTTTAGCAATGCAAATTAAGTGAAATGCTATATAGGAATCCAACACATTTTAACAACTGTTGAAAGAACCATAATTAAATGTAGTGGAGTGGGTCGCTTCCTATTAACCTTACAGTCAGGTGTTGGTTGTGTCATACATAACTTTTCACTTTGATGGGAAGGAAGTTGACATTCACATACTTGAATCTATTGAATCCAACACAATTTAACCTTGTGTTAAAAGACATAACGTCTTGACTACGCTTTGTGATTGCTGCTATTGATTTTTTTCCCACTATTTGCACATTAGTCTGTAACTGAGTAACTATTGGCTAATGACAAGATCTTAAATATTAAAACCCCATATCTATTTTGAAACTGTAATGTGTAATTTTTTTTTCTTTAAGATAAGTAACAGTCTTAAGAAGACTATACACAATAAACACTTTGATATAATTTTAGAGTTGCAGATGTCAGCATGCCATCTGTTTGCGCTGGTGTTGCTTATGTTTGGGAAAATAACTTCATTCTGTCCATTATCGAAGCATGAGACTTTATTTAAATATGTGCCACATTACATATTTACTCATAGAAATAAGAGGGCCACTGGTGCTTGGAGCGACCAATTAAAGAAACACTATAGTATTCCGAATGGAAACCTTGATTACTAAGACTATGCTGACCCGGTCCCCAGTTATATACAACGAATGCTCTCCCAACCCCACATATGCAAATGCCTCCTTCTGCAACATCACAGAGGCAGCACCGTCTCATCCATGAACGTCCGATCCAATGCTCTTCATGTAGGAGAATTGGGGACCTAATGCTGCCTGCAATCAAGTTTCGCAATGTGGAAAGGACTGAGCTCTATAACTTCGACAGAGAACTATGGAGGCACTGAGCTGGAGGATAAAGAGATTTGAGTCCTTCAATTTTAATTTTCACACCTCACAAATACCTATTTGTTACATATAAGGGGTAGGTTAACATTAAAATATTGGCATTGAGAGTTTCCCTTTAAGTATTCTAAATTCCTAATATCAGTGCACCCTGCTGTGCCACTTTAGTTTTGTGTTGTCTTATTGTCCTGCTCCAATTTATCATCTTTATGAATATTACATTCTTGGCGTTCTCATTTCTTCAATTGTATGTGGTTAAGGTTTTTTTTTTTCTTGTTACAAAACCCTCATTAGTGTGAGTGGCATTGAACACATTAGACAATTGATTTGTAGGTGTTTGGTCACAGACTTGTTTAAACAACATCCATATTTCTAACAAGGCACCATAGTGATTCTGTCACTTTGAAAGTTCTGGTCTTATTAAATTTAACTTCAGATACTGTCTATAATTGGTGGTGTTCCTTTTTTAAATAGTAAAATAGTTTTGCATATATTTCACCCAATTTTACAAATTAAACTAGGTCTTGTGTAATTCTACATAATTGTCTCCCCTGACCCAGACATATATATATTTTTTTTTTTTTTCTACTCCTTCGAAAATGACTTTACAAGATGTGTCTGAAAAGGGTCAAAATATATAAATGTGAAGAAATCATTCGGTAGTCAGGAAGTTTACTGGCCCATTAGAGGTTTATATCACGGCTAGTAGTGTCAAAATGAAAAGGGGAAAAAGTTACAAAAGGATTGGCGTTGATTATTGTATGATTTATACTTTACTACATAAATGTAAATGCAGAGTGATAAAACATTAATGTAAGAAAATCCAATAATGCACTCCGATCACTTCCACCACTTGTGAAAAAGAAACCATGTAGAAGGACAGTAGCCTGTTGATGTTCCTGCCCTCTAACTGGCCAGCCCGATCCTCTCTTGACCCCACTGAAGCTACCATACTGCTGCTAAATGGTAAGAAAATATAGGGTGGCTAAAAAAAGCAACATTGCCAATGTGTGGCTGTAGTAGAGTGTGTCTTGCAATGTGTTCCTGTCACTCCGTATAAGTGGCAATGTGTGCCCTGAAAGGGCACCACAAACTGCTTGCACACACACAAACAAGTACTCACAAATGTAACCCTACACAACCGCTGTAGAATCCATATGTAGCACAAGCAGCATACAGCAATACATACAAGTTTATAAAAAATATATATACACGACTGGCACGTCTTTGACAAAACCATTGTACAAAACTCATGAAACTTAGTTGTTTTTTGCTACCTAATTCTCACAAACTGACCTGCTATGTGAATTTTTGCTACTTTTTAAAATATTTTATTCCTCAAGAGGGGACAATACAAAGTGTGGATTTCAAGCAGCTGCTTGTTCTATTACAAAGATTTTTATGGGCCCGACTATCCTCAACTGGCTATTTCATTACATTGGAACTCGAACTTAATCTGTTCCAGAAGGCTGTTTGAGTTCCTATTTGTTTGAAAACCAAATCAAAATTTCTCATAAGAATTAATGTAAATTTGATTAATTAATTCCATATCCCCCAAATTATTATCTATAGTAGTTTTACATAGATCTGCAGCACTAGTGGCAACATCTCTACCCTAGCTTTATCAGGTTAATGAGTTGGATGTGTCTTAAGGGATTGAGTTCGTAAGTGTGACATGCATGCTGTGTGTTTTAGCAGAGGAACTTAACCCTCTCCCTAGTATGCGACCAACCACGTGTATCAATAGTGAGTTTACCAAGTTTTGATCATTACCAGTGGATCACACCAATTAATCTCTTGAAGAGTGAAGATGAGTGATATTGTAAAGATGAGTAAGTACTCAAATGTGAGTAGTTCTGATAGCGACAAGTTTATCAACGAGAGGTTAATGCAGCATGATTTGTTGGGTACCAAGACATTTTTTTCCCAAATTGTTTGTCTGACTACTGAATTGTTTGGTTAAAGGACACAATACTTAGGAATAGTTTTTTGCTCAGTGTGAGGCAGACAAGTGTGTTTGAGTTAACGAGCTTTGCAGGCATTCCGTGCATAGCGATTCAGCTTTGGGCTATCTTTCTGGCATGCCAAGGGACTTCAAATTCTTGTTTTGGCACAATGCTCCTAAACAGTTGCCTACCGCTGGCCTAAACCATACACTGCAGCCATTGCTTTTTTTTTTTTTAACAGTTTTTCTCTTTACTGAATAATTCTATGCCATGAATACAATAGCAACCAGCAGTGAGCCAAAAGTCGGTGAATCACAATAATCTGTTTATTATTATTATTATTATTGCCATTTATATAGCGCCAACAGATTCCGTAGCGCTTTACAATATTTTGAGAAGGGGGATGTAACAATAAATAGGACAATTACAAGAAAACTTACAGGAACAATAGGTTTAAGAGGACCCTGCTCAACGAGCTTACAGACTATAGGAGGTGGGGTATTAGAAACATTAGGACAAGAAATATCAAATAGGAGTGAAGCAGAGCTGGAGGAGAGAGCAAAGCACTGTCCCATAGGAGAGAGCAGGACACAGGTATGTAAGGTAGAGATTACTCTGGGAGGCCATAAGCTTTCCTGAAGAGATGGGTTTTAAGGCCCTTCTTAAATAATTGAAGACTAGGGGAGAGTCTGATGGCAGTAGGCAAGCTATTCCATAGGAGAGGAGCCGCCCGCGAGAGGTCCTGCAAGCGCGAGTTGGCCGTACGGGTGCGAGCAGCGGTCAGGAGGTGGTCACGGGCAGAGCGGAGGGTACGAGGAGGGGCATATCTATGGATTAGTGAAGAGATATAAGTGGGGCTAGAATTGTTCAGTGCTTTAAATGTATGGGTTAGCACTTTGAATTGACTCCTATAGCATACAGGGAGCCAATGTAAGGACTGGCAGAGGGGTGAGGTGTGAGAGGACCGACTAGAGAGGAAAATCAGTCTGGCTGCAGCATTCATTACAGCTGTAGCGGGGCAATACGGCTTTTGGGGAGACCAATCAGGAGAGGGTTACAGTAATCCATGCGGGAAATTACTAGAGCATGGACAAGCTCCTTGGTAGCATCTTGCGTAAGAAAGGGGCGAATGCGGGCTATGTTTTTGAGTTGGAACCTACAGGACTTGGCAACAAACTGGATGTGAGACTCAAAGGTGAGACCAGAGTCAAGTATGACGCCAAGACAGCGCGCTTGCAGGGATGGACTTATGTGGATATCACTGACTTGAAGGGAGAGCGAGAGAGGAGGATCAGTATTAGGAGGAGGAAAGACAAGGAGTTCAGTTTTAGACAGGTTAAGTTTCAGAAAGCGTGAGGACATCCAGTCAGAGATGGAAGAAAGGCAAGCAGTGACACGTTGCAGGACAGCAGGGGAGAGGTCCAGCGAGGAGAGGAATATCTGAGTGTCATCAGTGTACAGGTGGTAATGGAATCCAAAAGAGGCAATAAGTTTATCAAGAGAGGCAGTATAAAGAGAAAATAGAAGGGGACCAAGGACAGACCCTTGGGGAACTCCAACCGAGACAGGACGAGGGGAGGAGGTATCGTTGGAAAAGGAGACACTGAGCGTTGGGAGAGATAGGAGGAAAACCAAGAGAGGACAGAGTCACAGAGACCGAGCGATTGAAGAGTTTGAAGGAGGAGGGCATGATCAACGGTGTCAAAGGCAGCAGAGAGGTCAAGGAGAATTAATATGGAGTAGTGACCTTTGGATTTAGCGGAGATTAGGTCATTAGTCACTTTGATAAGAGCAGTCTCAGTAGAATGGAGAGGGTGGAAGCCAGACTGAAGAGGGTCAAGGAGAGAGTTGGAATTAAGGAAGTGAGACACACGGGTAAAGACAAGTCTTTCCAAAAGCTTTGATGAAAAAGGGAGCAGGGATATGGGATGATAGTTAGAAGGGGAGGATGGGTCAAGAGATGTTTTTTCAGGATAGGTATTACAGTGGCATGTTTATGGTCAGCAGGAACAGTGCCAGAAGAGAGAGAGCAGTTAAAGATGTGTGTAAGGGTAGGCACAAGACAAGGGGAGAGAGATCTGATGAGGTGAGATGGGACAGGATCGAGCGGGCAAGTGGTGGGGCGAGAGGAATAGAGAAGCGCAGCCACCTCTTGTTCAGTAGCCGGGTAGAGAGTCTGGAGGGTAGGGAAAAGCAAGATTTACATATGGTTGATAAAGAGAACGGCAAGGAGGGGAGAATTGTTTCCTTAGCTGTTCAATCTTGTCGGTAAAGTAACATGCAAAGCTATCAGCTGTAAGGTTAGTTTGGGGGGTGGCCACAGCAGGGCGGAGAAGGGAATTAAAGGTGTCAAAGAGACGTCTGGGTTTGCGGGAGCATGAACTAATGAGAGAGGAAAAGTATGACTGTTTGGCGAGGGCGAGGGCTGCGCTGTACGAAAGCAACATGAATCTATAATGGAGAAAGTCTGCCTGGGTGCGGGACTTCCTCCAGGAGCGTTCAGCACAACAGGAGCAACTCTGCAGATAGCGTGTTGATTTATTATGCCAAGGTTGGGGTCGTGTCCTCCTCGAGGTGCATGTGTTGAGTGGGGCTGCAGCGTTCAAGGCAGATGTGAGGGTAGTGTTATATGTGGAGATGGCCAGTGAGGGACAGGATGGATAGCAGTTGTGAATCAATGTCAGCTGACAGCTGCTGGAGGTCAATAGAGTTAAGGTTCCTCCTGAGCTGAGGGGGGTTAGGCTGAGATTGTTGGGTGAGGGGGTAATTGAGAGCAAACGATAAGAGGTGGTGATCAGAGAGAGGAAATGGAGTGTTGCAGATATTAGATATTGTACATGAATAAGAGAAAATAAGGTCGAGGGTATTGCCAGCTACATGAGTGGGAGAATTAGCCCACTGCAAAAGTCCAAGGGAGGAAGTGATTGAAAGTAGTTTAGAGGCTGCTGGGGTTAAAGGTGGGTTAATGGGATTATTGAAGTCTCCAAGAATTAGGGATGGGATGTTGGAAGAGAGGAAGTAGGGTAGCCAGGCAGCAAAGTGGTCAAGGAAGAGGAGAGGGGAACCAGGGGGACGATAGATTACGGCAATGTTAGCAGAGAAGGGTTTGAAAAGGCGAATTGAATGAATTTCAAATGATGGGAAAGAGAGGGAAG